AACAATTTGCATCAAAGATAATGGTGTTCACATTCGATGACATTCCTTTTGAAAAACGGAATAGTCGTCTCGACGAGTTTCATGCGTGGATGACCTCCGAAGCAATCACTTCCCCAACAGAAGTGGTGATACAACAATTCACATCAAGACTGTCAGGCGCATTAAAAGAATGGTGGAATTCGCTTGGAGAATATCGGCAGCAGCAGGTGTATCAGACAACGATACCTCTACTTCTTGGAGAAATACATAGAGAATTCGTTGGCACCCCAAATCATTTAAAAGAACAACTACAAGAAGAGTTTTACACAGCGAAGTGTTATTCATTGAAGAAGAGAGATTTAGCAAAGCATTTCGAGCGACAAACTCGAAGGTATTATGCTCTCAATGGTCTAAACAATCCAAGCCTGAAGCAGGTGTATCTCTCATCCATCGACGACTACCTAAGTCAACAAACAAAGCTGTATATCAGAGATCAAGGGCAAACAATCGAAGAAATCTCAATTGGGCAAATCCAGCAGCAGGTGTTCAGAACCCTTGACAAGCTTTGTAAGCAAAAGGAATTTTGGTCTGAATTCATGGACAAGTCAAAGCATCTTTCGAAGATATGTGCTCGCCCAGATCTGAACATCAAATGCTCGAAAAAGAAAAAATGTTCATGTAAAGATCGACGAAAAGATCGAAGAGGATCCAAGAAATCATTCTTGAAGTCGAAATATTTCAACAAGATCAAACGCAAGCGATTCTTTAGAAAGAAGAAAAGCTTCGAGAAAACTTCAAGATGTTTTCTATGCAGAAAGACGGGGCATTTTGCAAAAGACTGTCCAAACAAGTCTAAAAAGAAGAAGCAGTATCTCATTCATTCGATATCCAAGATAGCTCCAGATCTTGATATTGATAACCATGATCTTGAGTCAATACTATCTTATGATAGTGACGAGAATGATGCTATATGCAGTTATTCGGATTATGACGATTCTTCAGAATCCTCATCCGAAGATGACAAAGACGATGATTGTTGTTTCAAGATTACCCAGATCCCTAAGGAAGATGAACTTCAGACGCCACATCTACCAGTAACCATCTTTGATCCTTCCAAACGAGAAAAGCCAGTGCATGCAATCGCATTCTTCGACACAGGAGCTCATACAACAATCATAAATCCAAAGATTCTCTCACGAGCCATGTTGATGCCTCATCAACAAGATTTCAGAGTCGCGAATGCTGGATCCCTGACGGTTAAGCTAAAATCAAAACCAATCACGATAGAGCTTTTCCCTGGATGTCAAGTTACTAAGGAAGTACTAGGTTCATCTGCACCTGGTAAAGACTTAATCCTTGGCTGGGATACTTATTCGGTACTGAAGAAGAAGTTCGGTATTTCTCTAGAACCAAGAGGCGTGAGATGGAAAAACCTCTACAAAGCTTTTACCACGATGCATCGCCTATTCTCAATCGAAGACTCAGCTTCTGCAGAATTCAACAAAATTGAAGAAGAACTAAAGATGGCATCATGTGCAGATTCACACACGGAGTTCCTTCAAAAGTGTAATCATTCGTTATGGTTAAACTCAAGCTTCTTCGTATCCCTACCATTCAAAGAAGATGTACACACAACACCAACAAAAGCAAGCCATGCAGGAATGCCTCCAACATTGTTGCAGAAGGCAAATGAGGAATGCAATCAATTGATGGATCAAGGTATCATCTCAAGAACAAACTCTCCATGGGCATGCAAAGCGTTCTACGTTAATAATCGTGCAGAACAAGCAAGAGGAAAACTCAGATTAGTTATTGACTACAAGCCATTGAACCAATATCTGCAAGACGTCAAGTTTCCACTGCCAAATAAAAGAGCACTTCTCCAACATCTCCAAGGTGCAAAAATATTTTCAAAGTTTGATCTAAAGTCAGGATTTTGGCAACTCGGTGTTCATCCTGAAGAAAGATACAAAACTGCGTTTTGCCTTCCAAACAGACACCTTCAATGGAATGTCTTACCGTTTGGTCTCAAGACGGCGCCATCGCTATTTCAGCAGGCAATGTTACGTATATTCGAGCCGTTGTTACACACAGCTCTTATATATATTGATGACATACTCATCTTCTCGAAGAATGAAGAAGAGCACATTAAGGCGCTACAACAGTTTCAAGACATCGTCAAGAAAAGCGGAATCATGCTATCAGCCAGAAAGATGATAATAGCCCAGCCCAACATCGACTTTCTTGGCATGCATATCAAAGAAGGAAGTTTCACACCACAGGCCCATTTAGCTACAGAACTCCTAGATTTTCCCGATGAAAATCTCACAAGGCGACAAATTCAACAATTTCTTGGAGTAATCAATTATGTGGGAGACTTCGTTCCACACCTTTCCAGAATGACAAGACCTCTACAGAAGATGTTGTCGAAAAACCCTCCTTTATGGGCATCACGACAAACTGAAGCTATCAAAAGTCTAAAAGCAGAAGTGCAAAAGCTACCTCCTTTAAAGATTCCCTCCTCAGGATGCGTATTCTACAGACAGACGCTAGTGATAAGTATTGGGGAGCAATACTGTTTGAAGAGATGGATGGGAAAAGACAAATCTGTGGATACAAGAGTGGTCGTTTCAAAGATTCAGAGCAACATTATCACTCAACGTTCAAGGAGATTTTAGCAGTCAAAAAAGCTATCGAGAGGTTTGAATTTCATCTGATAGGACACAAGTTTCGCATTGAAATGGATATGTCTTCGTTTCCCAAGATGTTACAGTTCAAGCAGAAGATGGTCCCGCATCAGCAGCTACTAAGATGGAGTGAGTGGTTCTCAAAGTACGACTTCGAGTCAGTCTATTTAAAGGGCACCAAGAACACGTTAGCAGACATGCTAAGTCGAAAACCAGTGAAACAAGAAACGCCCTACGAGATACATATGATGGCCAGTTCCTCCGAAACCAAGAAGAGCTACTATGACTTTGAAGCAGACGTACCCGAAGATGTTCATCAACTCATCAGCAGAAACAAGCTTCATGAGCTACTACGCTCAAAGATCTTTTCATATCAATCTACCATCCTGACGAACTATGGAGTAAACTGTCATCACATTGCTCCAATGGGAATTCATCCTGACTATCCGTTTGCTCATCTTTACAGGATAGAAAATTCAAACATGCCAGAAGAAGTTCTCTGTTTCCTCTGGTATCTCTGTGCCGTCTACACGGTAGGAATTGCTTTCGACATCCAATGGCTGTACCATTACGTCAACACTGTTCAAGACAAAAGAGACAGCTTCTCAACGTTCCTAAGGTGGTTTTCACCATTGACTGTCTGGAGTGGAAAACTACGAAGATCCGCAAATGCGACAAATCTAACATTCAAGAAGCTGAAGAAAGGTGGACTCAACCCGTTCTTCAATCCGCATTCAATCTACTTCTTTCATCGTCCCGTTAAGGTCAACCGCAAAACAAGCAAAATCCTCGCTCTTCCAACTCTCATTCATCACGGTGATTTTTCAAGAGGAGTTCGTCCAGATTTCAACCTTCAAGATAATGAAGCATATGAGAACTTCCAAACTCATGCGTTTCACCTCAACAATGCAAGACAAACATTCCCCATTCCGTTCATACCCAACTGGGTTTATTATCCGGTCGACTATCAGATGCAACTTGATGAAGATTTACAGTATCACATGATGAAGTTCAACAAAAGAGGACCAAGCAGTCCAACAGAAGATAAACAAGAAGAGACAACTCCCCAGGCGACTTCTCAAGTCTACTGTGCAAATTACTTCAAAGACGCTCAATCCCCAGATGATGAAGTAAATGTTGAAGAAATCGAAAAGAAGTTCAAGTTCTACATAAATGTTCAACCAGGAGGAGATGCACAAATGATCGAAAACTCGTATGAATGTCCAGGTGATCATTATGGATGCTGCGAAGAACATATGCTGGAGTTCGAAATGGATCATTAAGCGGTATGTTAAATATAAAATATAATAATATGTTAAAAATCATGTAAAATAAATAATGATGTCACGCGATGATGTAATCGCTGATGTAATGATTATGTAAGCAATGATGTAAGCGATGATGTATCGCTGAGGTAAGCGCTTATGTCAGCGCCTTAAAAACCTCCTATAAATAAGTGTGTACCCCTTGTAAGATTCCATAACTTGAAATATCATAAAATTTCATAATAGCTT